TGAATAAATGTATGCCACACAGTACTGACCTCTGTGTGCCTTTTAGACACAACTAATGTTTAAAAATTTAAGATTTGTAGACTTTATTTTTTCCTTTAAATCTGTGTGATAAAGTGCTAACACTGCAGTGCACCAGTTGGGGGCGCTGTATCATCACTTTACCACGGTGGGGATGTCAGTAATGGAACAATTCCTGTTCCTGCTTCGTGAACACGAACACGACAGTTTGACCGCGTATGACATTATTTTCTTTAAATATTCAGCTAACATTGTTTCAAATTAAAAGCCTTGGATGAGAAGAGACAAAAAGAATCTGCGTTGTCGGCAGGATTCGAACCTGCGCGGGGAGACCCCAATGGATTTCTAGTCCATCGCCTTAACCACTCGGCCACGACAACCTATCAGCAGTGATCGTATATAATCAATTCATAGCTGCATAAACGACCTGGAACATTTTGGATTTTCCGCCTTAAACGTTCAGTGTGATGTAATTGTATGAACAGTCATGTACCGGCATCTGTGGCGAGAAAGTGAAACTTAACTAACGTCAGGCAGCATCTTTATTTATTTTATTTTTTTGCAAAGAAGGACGAGTGTTGCCTGTTTATCTCATTTAATTTGTAGTATCAAGTAAATACCATTGCTAAACAATTTAGCAGAAACCGTTTTGCTCTGCCTACATAAATATTAACACACAGGACAGATGAGAGATTAATATTTGGTGTGATTTTACGAGTTTGTGCATTAACAATACTATTCAACTTTTTATTTTTTTACTTTTCTACTCTTATTTCCTCCCAGTGCGGCAGTTAATTGGCCACCATGGAGATTTTTTTTAAAATAACAATAATAATTAAAAATTCGCATGCATACAGCCTCGATGTTTGCATTGGATTACCTGCATTGCACTACTGTTTGCTTCCACCTTTATAAAACGCAGCTCTGAGCCGCGCAGCCGCAACAACGTTTTTCACAATTGTGCTTCCCAAAGCCGAAACCTCGCATTTACTTCTGCAAGCTAGAGTAAAAAAAAAAAAAAACATATCTAGTGAGATGTGAGTGAAAACATGAGACTAATTTGGAGTAATTGTCAGTTCGCTCATTGTTGCCACTGAGCTGGAAGCAGGGGCACCACGTGACTGGCTCGGTGAGGGCCTGCTGTTTGTTCAGCCAGAGAGGCAGAGAAGAAGAAAAATGGCGGCTCTAGGCGAACCCGAACGGGACGCCGGGCTAACGTTTTGAGCTTTCGCACCCGAAAAGACCCAGGGGCTCCGCGGGGCGACCGCACCGTTTGAATCCTCGCCGGTTCGGCTTCGCGGCGGTACCGCTCTCGCTCGCGTCCGTGTAGGCTAAACAAACGCAAGCATTGGGATTGTAAAATAATAGAATTTCGCCTATCATGAGAGGGAAAAGGGGCAGGCCGCCCAAACCGCTACACACCGACGAGCCATCATCAGCTACGGCCCGGGGCTTGCGACCCAGGAGGAATCTCAAGCCCCGGCTGAGGGACAGCGGGGATGAGGACGCCGACAGCCCCACAAGGGAGACCACCAAGTCGGCCAAGAAGAGGAAATGGGGATCCGTAACGTCAACACGGGGCAGGGGACGAGGTAGAGGTGGCGGCGGTGGCAGAGGAGGCAGAGGTGGACGTGGAGGAAGGCGGACGGCTGCGTCCAAAACAGTGGTGTACGACGACCACGAGAGCGACGAGGAGGACGATGCTGTCAGTTTGAGGTCGGAGGAGGACGAGTTTGTTGAGGAGGAACCTCAGTCCGAGGAGGATGAGGCCCTCAAAGAGGACTCTGATTGCCTGGAAGATGATGTGCTGGACGAGGAGGAGGATGATGCCAGCTACTGTACAGAGAGTAGCTTTCGGAGTCAGAGCACACACGCCAGCACTCCGGGTAAATAACCAGCATTGAAGCAGGCTGCAGGGTCTCAGCACCCATCACACAGGGCTGCAGAAATCAGCCTGACACGATAAGTGTGGGTTTTTGTACATGAGTGCAGGAAGCAGTAAGGTTATTGTTCAAAATGGAGAATGCACACTGTATGAACACAGGCCGCAGTCCGCTCATTAACGCCGCTGCAGGTGGATCCAACCGGTGGCTCTGTCCGCACTTTACCCGGTTGCCATCGCAGTCAGTCGTCAGATAATTCACACTTGTTTCAGGAATAACTGCGACGGGCCTCCAGCTCGAAATGCCCCAGCTGTGGTTAGATGCACAACGTAGCTGCTAGCATGCTAACGTTAGCCAGTGAAACTAGCTTTCTTGCTGCCAACTGTAAAGTAAAGTCTGTGTCAGTTAGATAACTGTTTATCGACCACTTCAACATCCTCTACTTCTGTTTTTTTTAAGAGAATAAGAAATTGTAGTTTTTGGTTTAAGCTGATAATTAAGAATTAAGTAAAGCGAGTTAGCTAACTAACTTAGCTTGGCTAGCATGCCTGTCAGTTCTGTCACTTTGTCAGCTATTAGCGCAGTTTTAAGTTATTTAATCAATTCTAAACCCTTTAAAACGACGAGAGCTAATGTCCTCACTGTGTTTACAAGCAGTAGAGGCTATAATGGGATGCCAGACTGACATTCAGGTTAAAAGCCAGCTGCACAGCTTCTGTTTTCCTACATGCAGGAGGATGAGGCAGCCTCATTTAGCTAGTAATGACACTGGCCATGTGTTGAGCCGGCTCAGCCAAAGTAGCACACATGTAAGTTTGCCACCAATCAAATCCAGGTTTCATAAGCTATTCTTTTCACATTTGGGACGTAATATGGTAGATTTTGTCTTTTTGAATTGTTCTGGCGACTTCACTGCACATTTCAGATGGAAAATAACATGAATTACAATCACTTTGAGAATAATTTACCATAGAAGTGTCTGGGTGTTGTTGTTTTGACAGAAAAAAAAAAGCTGGTTAATAGTGATAACTTGAGATATCACAGTATTTTAACACTGCCTGCTTGTCATAATGTGTTTAAAGTCTGACTTTATATATATATATACTATATAAAAATGACCGTTTGTGTATATATATATATTATCCTCATGGTTTGCTTATGGTGTATCCTACAGGGAAGAAGAAATTACGGGCTCCTCGACCTCGAACTCCCATTCTCGAGGACAAGGAGATTCCTACTCTTGAGCTTCCCGAAACCTCGGAGGATCTCCTGGTGCCCAGTGAGGAGCTTCTCAACGCCACCTCCATCTATGAGGTGGTTCGGAACTTCAGCCCGGTGCTGCGTCTCTCACCATTCCGCTTTGAGGACTTCTGTGCAGCGCTGGTAGGCCAGGAGCAGTGCACTTTAATAGCAGAGACCCATATTTCCCTGTTGAAGGCCATCCTCCGTGAAGAGGATTCCTCAAACACTACCTTTGGCCCTGCCGACCTCAAGGACAGTGTCAACTCCACTCTGTACTTTATTGATGGTATGACATGGCCGGAGGTGTTAAGGGCATACTGCGAGAGCGACCGGGAGTACCATCATGTTCTGCCACACCAGGAGGTGGATGATTATCCCTACGGTCCCCTTGAAAGCAAGATCAAGGTGCTGCAGTTCTTAGTGGACCAGTTTCTCACCACCAACATCGCCCGCGAGGAGCTCATGTCCGACGGCAGCATGCAGTACGACGACCACTGCCGGGTGTGCCACCGCCTGGGCGACCTGCTGTGCTGTGAGACCTGCACAGCCGTTTACCACCTGGAGTGTGTGAAACCACCACTCGAGGAGGTTCCAGAGGACGAGTGGCAGTGTGAGATTTGCGTTGCGCACAAGGTGCCCGGTGTCACAGACTGTGTGACTGAGGCGCAGAAAAACAGGCCCTACATCCGCCAGGAGCCCATTGGATATGACCGCCACCAGAGGAAATACTGGTTCCTTAACAGAAGGATTATTGTGTAAGTTTGGACTCTCAGTGCCTTGTGTTGAACTAGAATTACCTGTAATTCGGTGCCAACCTCCTATTTTTCCTCTACAATATTACACTACACGTGCGTTCAACTACAACAGCAAGAAGCAAGCGATTATTTTCATTTTTCGAGGTTTAAAATGCATCACAAAAGTCTGTTTCAAATCTGATGGCGCCAAATAAAACTTGCAGACGGTACAAGTCCTCATATTACATCACATAACTTCTCAACACACAAGTTGATCTAAAACAATAACTCAGCGGTCAGTGGAGTCACATTGTGTTATTTCACATAGTTATGGCAGCAAATGTTTCCCAGGAAAGTGTCATTACACTGAACTTAATTGATTATTAAGGCGTTTGCTTAACATGTGGAAAGCGTTCATAGAAATATATTGCATAACGCTGGAACACGCTTAAATGCACTGAACATCAGATTGATTAATTGTGCTCCTGCATACATTTGCAGTATTGCAGCATTTCACAATCGTTCTCATTAATATAGTCGTATGGAGTTCAGTCGTATCGCCGGGCCAACAGGGAGTCTTCAGTTAAACGAATTCAATTAGATTTGCTGGTATAAACACAGCTTACACGGCGCAGTATGAATCATATATTTAATACCAATTACATGCATCAGTGCACTGGGAGACACCGTCAGAGCCGAGGTGCTGAGCTTAAGCGTTCATGTCGCGCACGTCGCTGTAGTGGAGTGAAAATGTAGCCGCTTGTTACTCATGACCTCTGTTCACATTCAGCGAGCCTTATGAAACGACATAATCTGTCGTAACACCAAATGTACATTCACCCTACAGGCCTCAGCGACGGCCAAATGGAAGAAAAAACACATGCAAACACAATGGGAGCAGGTTGACCGTAGTTTACTTAACACATGGTCTCACATTACTGGACCTGTGTCTACGCTGTGTGGTGCTGTTCCGTCCCAAATTTGCTGGAAAGTGAAACCAAAAGTTGTCGAGAAAATCAATCGGTGGGCGAAATGCAACAAGCTCCTACGAATTCAGTCATTGGTTTGTCTCGAAATGATAGAAGAGATCTGCAATCAAGGCCCTTTATGTTTATTGGCAGTTCTGTTTTTGCACAATGCCTCCTCACCCCCCTTTATGTAGCCTTTACAAACTGAAGATGGACCTCATCTTAATGTCTGGCAGAGCCTTTTAATCTTTTGTCATCTGGGGGGGAAAACAGGAACTCAATACCTGAGCTGAACTGTCTTGCACCAAGAGAATAGTAATGAGCAGATGAGCAGTCTGCTGGAGTCACAGATATACCTGTCCTGTCCTTGAGAGCTTTATCTCAAACCTCATCATCTTTATTCCTTCACAAATAGCTAGCATCTGTGTGTCAGCTTCCTTCGCCGGCTGAATTCTGGTATTCGAGCTTACTTGTAAAGACCTCTCCCTGTCCAGGCATCTCAACAGAGGTAGTTGACTCCAACCAAAAGAGAAGCTGGTAATGCTCCTATAGCAGAAGTTAAAACTCACAGAAATCTACAATTTAGACCCCAGTGATGTTGTTTTACTTGATGCCTTGTGCCATGAGTCTGACTTCTAACCACCAATCCTTTCGTTACTCTCCAGCGAGGAGGACGGGGAGCACGAGAAGAAGAAGATCTGGTACTACAGCACCAAGGCGCAGCTGCAGGAGCTCATTGACAGCCTGGATAAGGAGTACTGGGAGATGGACCTCTGCGTAACCCTGGAGGAGATGAAGGAGGAGGTGCGAGCTCACATGGACATCACAGAGGACCTCACCAACAAAGCCCGCGGAAACAATAAAGCCTACCTCACTGCTGTCAACGGTACGGATCTGGTTTACGTTACCTCTTTGACACCAACATAGAGGAAGTTTCTAACCTCGCTGCTGTAATCTTGTCGTGGTTCAGAGGGTTATTGTAAGTAGGTGCTGATGTTCTTGTGAAGGTGACACGAGGGAATCATTGATTTGACAGTTAATGATCAGCGCATGCGTGACTCCGGCTGTGAAGTGCATGTTTGCGTCTCTGCGTGTGTGTTTGTGTCCTGCAGGGTTACATTCTGAAAGAGTCTATCTAAGCTTCAGATAACACCGTTCTTCCCCTCAGGCGGCGTTGCTTTGCATAGATAGACAGTTGGGTGCTGCCTTTTCTTTCCTGCCTCACATTCTCTCAGACAACAAGCAACTGTTTTTTCCCCCCTCTGTCTTCCTCCAAGGAGTCGGAGTGGTTAGAGCGCTTTTGATTACTTAGCCAGCAGTTTCCGTTTCTGTTTGACAGGCTGCCATATCTGTCTGCTTTTCTAACACTTTCCCTGTGTGTGTGCATGTGTGTGTGTGTGTGTGTGTGTGTGTGTCACCATAACTGCCTGATTCCAGTTCTCAGAAAGACAGCGAGGTACAGTGTTTTGTTGGGGACGTGCCTCGGGCATTTTGTCAAAAGCTAGAAGTTTGAATGCGTCTTCTGTAGCCTGAAATGGAAGAAGATATGTTCTGTGTGAAGCTGCTGCAGCTGCACCTTGCTTCTCATCAGTTGACCGAGCGAGGATTGTTTCTGTCCCAGTGAAAATTATGTTTGTGAAACATGGTTCTGTGGAGATTCTGGAAAGCCCTGGCTTTGATTCTGGGTGTGTCGGGAAGGACTCGGGACTTAGAAATGACAGTTTGTGCCGAATATGATCATCAGAACGCTGGTGTGTGAAAACATCAAACTATTTCAGGCCAATGAAACCGAAAAGCACTTCATCAGAGGGACCTGTTGTGGTGCCTCGTCAGGATGCTTGTTTTACATATTTTTCAGAGAGCTGAGTTTAGTCACTTGTTTTTTCTGGGTTTTTTCACCTTTAATGGACATGATAGTGAAGAGAAACAGAGAAATGTGGGGAGAAGAGTGGGGGAAGGACTTGAACTGTGACCACTGTGTCGGGGACTCTAGCCCCTGTTCGTGGGTCGCCGTCTTATCTGGTTGGGCTACCGGGGCGCCCACAGTTTAGTCACTTTAGGCTTTTTGAATGCAAGGATTTGTTTGTGGTTAGCATCGTTGCCTCGCAGCTAGAAGGTCGCCGGTTCGCGTCCCGGTGAGGACACCCGGGATCTTTCTGCGTGGAGTCTCCATGTTCTCCCCGTGCAGCGTGGGTTCTCTCCGGGTTCTCCGGCTTCCTCCCACAGTCCACAAACATGCTGAGGTTAATTGGTGATTGTAAATTGTCCGTAGGTGTGAATGTGAGTGTGCTTGGTTGTCTGTCTCTAAGTGTAGCCCTGTGATAGACTGGTTACCTGTCCAGGTGAACCTGCCTTCACCCTGAGTCAGCTGGGATAGACTCCAGCCCCCCATGACCCTAGTGAGGATTAAGGTGTAGAGATAATGGATGGATGGATTTGTTTTTACTTAAACCTGTGGTGTGGAACTTTATTGTCCGCCATCGAGGAGCAATCAGCCTCTCTGTCAGTTGCTCTCTTTTTTTAGGCTGTAATCCTTCCTCTGAAGTTTCGTTTTTATCTGGAGCATCAGAAACTTTTCTCGGATGCTTCCTTTGTTTTCGGCTCCACCATAGTCTGGTTGTTGTATCCTACTCTGTCTCCATCCCTTTATTCACCAAACCAATCAGCACGGGCCGACGTAAAACACCAGGTTTCAAACTCCGGTTTACTGCAAAATACAACAAGATTTATTTATTCATTTTGTTTGGCTTGAATGTGACAGATGTTCATTTATATGTAAAAGACCTTCGAGCTTTAATGTTTTTGGAATTTTGTTGGCAGCTTCAATTTTTGCATTAATTCAGATGAGACACATAAACAAGGTTTCACTGCATGTAGAAGTATTCGCTTCGGTTTGGTTGAGGTGCTTCTTCTTGCTCTGCAGCACCGTTAACACGTCGCCTGCTGCTGACGTGAGGCACTGAAGTGTGTTTACTGTATTTCTAATTCCCTCCTGTGTACCGCTGACAGTTAGCAGCTGTCAATCAAACAGAGACGATCAAACAGAGACACTTTACCAATCGACAGAGAATGAATTACTCCAAAAATCTTGTGTTTTCCTTTTAACAATACAAAACTATTCGCAATAGATTAGAAAAAACACCATTCTGGACCACAAAGAGATGATTAAATGTGATTCCAGCCTTTGTATCTCCATAACTAATAAACTATATACTGTATTTATGCATCATATTTATAACTCAGCGCTGCGTTCATGGTTTTTATTCACTTGTTGCCGGCTTAAGTGTACATTTATGGTCTCGGGTTCATTGTCTTCCCGCTGACTTTCCATTTACTTAAATGTTATCTTCAAATACCAAGTCTATTAAGCTGTTGCACAGATATGATTGTTGCTTCTTTTATTGTTTGTTTAAAAATGAACGCTTCCTTTGTTTGCAGATGTGATCATGGAGCGTATGAAGGTGAGGCAGGACGCCAAGAGGCGAACGGAGGAAGCAGAAGGTGGCTCTGTAAACACGGCCGAGGACGCCGCTCAGCTCACGTCGCAGCTCGACAATGGGGAGCACAAAGATGCCGAGCCAACGGAAGACGCTAGTTCACAAGGTAAAAATGGTTTAAAGGTTAATATAGGGCATTGTGTTTGCCACCCTGCTGTAGCTGGCTGTTTAATGCCCGTAAACAGAGGAACCAGTGGTGGTTGTAGCAGCAGGTGCAGTTTTCCCACATGTGCAAACCGCCCTTCTTGTAGTGAAACTGTTCTGACTCAGCTGGTGCTGTTCGCCCTGTGTATGTATGTCATACCACAGCAGCGACCGTTCCCCCTGCTGCAGAAGACAGCTGCGTGTCACATCCTAACGCCAGCTCTGCCGCCCAGGACGCAGCCGAGCCTAAAACAGAATCCCTTGAATTGAACAAGGAGGCCCAACCTGCTCGTTCTGGGAACCAGGAGAGCTGTGAGACCCCTCCGGCGACAAAGCAGGAACGGACAGGTACTCGGAGTCGCAGATTGACTCGCGTTTGGTCTGCAGTCCAGTTATCATCCTCCACTTTATCCCTCGCTGCTGGGCTGCGCATCCATCTTCATCTGTCTGCTTGTCTCGGCTGTTTGCTGCTAACCATACCGCTCTGGTCGTTTGCTTTGTTGGCTGTAAGTGGGTGACGTCGCTGATCTGTTTTTCTATTTTGCACACAAGGATCCAGACTGTAGCTATTTTCTTCAGCCTGTGCGAGTCCGAATATCACGCGGTTGCTTTTGTGCGAGTGCATTGTGACCATTAGACTGTCATTGTGCCCTTCCAGCCAGCTTGTATAGCTTCTGTGCTTCCTGAAAGTGGTGCTTTTCTTCTTCACTGGATCAGTCGGCCTCTTCCTGACTGACACGTGGAACGATCAGCTGTTGCCGTGTTCCAGA